ATACCTCCAGTTGACTGAGTCAAATGCCTTCATTATGTCTATTTTGATAGCACAACGAGAGGAGAGACACTTTCTGTTATACCCACTTACTAACTCCTGAGCCAAAAGTATATTATCCATGATGCTTCTACCTTGAATAAATGCAGACTAGGAATTACTAATAATCAGAGGCAATATCCCTTTGATTCTATTAGCTAGAATCTTAGCTATTATCTTGTATAAGAGATTTATACAAGATATAGGTCTAAAGTTCCTAAGGGAATCATCATTTGGGACTTTGGGAAGTAAAGAAACCGTTGTGGAGTTAATACCACTAGGCAGATTACCTGAATCGGAGAAGAATAGAATCCCTCTAGATACATCATCTCCTATAATATCCCAAGTCTTCTTGAAAAACCCTGCTGAGAACCCATAATGTCCTGGGGCCTTTTGGGAGCTCATGCTGAAGACCACTTTTCTTATTTCCTCGACAGTAACCCTCTTCATCAAATCTGCATACTCAGTCGGGGGGGATTTGGCGTTGAACCAGTTGTTGTACCTATTATGTTGATAGATGTGATTGAAATGGTAAAAACCATGTGTTTAATGACGAGACTGATGCCTTCTTTCTTCTCCTGCTACGCCCTGAGAAAGTAATCGGCGGGAAAAATAGGAAGGGAAGCTGGGAATGGTAATGATTGGATCAAATAGTTTATATAGAGGTGGGGATTCCTGCACGATCGAGAAAAAGAGAATAGAGAACTACTCCATAAACAAAACAAGAGAGTATTCGATAGACAAGCCCCTTCCCGTACCCTAACTAAGCTTACTCGTTCCTACAAGCAAAGAAAAGAGATGGAGAGAGACGGGCTTCTGAGGAACGCAGTAGTTTGCTGGCCTTTTCTTTTGGGTTGAGGCCCTGCTTCAATTCCAAATACAACCCCGACTAAATCACACCAATGGAAATACCAAGTCGTAGTCATAAGTAAAAAAGATATAACAATTAGTCAGTGGAACTTGCCCTAAGTCTAACTAACTAACGAGCCAGAAACTGTTTCTGAGAGTGCTAGACTTAGCAAGACTGCCCCTAGCATAATCGAAAAGAATATAAACCTTGTTATGGGGATGGATCTGTAAGGGATCTAAGTTCAAGCTAGGGATACTATTACTATATGGAATGGTAATTTAGTTTTCAACTAGAGTCAAATCCATTTTACCTTTGCAAAGTAATTTAGTTTTCAATCTTTGTTTTCACCAAAACCGATCCGCTAAATAATGTTTCAAACAGTCGAAGTAGCAGTACATAGACCGGCCCGGGTCGATATTTAAACATACTTACCCTATATTATACCCATCTAAGGTTTATACTTGGACCTTATGTGGGATTTATTGTGATAGTTAGAGCGAGTCACCACACACATAATCACGCATAACTCCAAAATTAACTAGCATTACTAAAAGTAGATGCATAAACTAAAATACTTACGAGTGAGATATTACCCCCTTTACACTCACCTTCCAAGTGCTTTACTTCTTTGGACGTGGAGTCTCTTAACTTGATCGCTTCCTTAATCCTATAAATCGAGATTAATTTCTCTTAGTCGGTATTCCGTAAAACATTTCGTCCTCCTAACTTAGTCCCATAATTCTTTGAAAAGGCCCTTAACTCTTTTAAATAATTTTTCTCAAACACTGAAATTTTCCCCCCGAATTTTCCAAGACTAATATCATTACCATTAACTCAAAAAATATTTATACAAATCTCATAAATTTCCAAAAATAGTTTCCCTCTTAAAACTACAAATTTTGACTTTTAATAACTCAAAAAAATAATTCAAAATTATTAACTATAATTTATACCTTAATTAACCCCTTCTTCTTATTTAATTCAACAAAAAACGAATTTTATAAATATATTTCCCACATCCGAATTTCCGATTCTAAATTTTAAAATGTACTAAAAATATTCTAATTTTTGAAAAAATTAACATGTTAATAAATACAAACTTAATAAAATTTAATCAATTTAAACCGCCATTATATCAATTTTTTTAACTAGCAAATAAAATGTAAAAATAACCAAATAATTTATAGATGGGCATAAAAGTATCCAATACCTAGTAAAATTATCAAATTCACAAAAATTGCTCCAACAATATTTTATTTGCTTAAAGACGTCTTTATACCTATTTTTAAAATTATAAGTACATCTCCAACTATTCTCAGATTAATATCCAAATATTATTAAAATTTTATCTAATTTATAAAATTACCAACTCATTAAAATACGTTTTGTCCATACAGGAACAATAATGAAAACCTTGAAAAAAATGTTATTTTCGCCCCGTGTTCATTTTTAACACACTAGAGACTAAGAGCATCTCCATTGAAATTGCAATTAGAATTGTATTATAACATGACATTCATTTGCAATTGCGTTGATGTCTATGACAATTGCATCTTTGCCAGCTTGCATATAATGCAATTATGAAATGCAAGCCACATCATTTTTTTTATTATTAAATTATTCATTAATTTTAATATTTGAGTGTTTATGTTTTAATAAATTAAATAAAAAAATTAGTTTCAATTGCAAGTTAATTGCATTGATGTGGTGCAATGCAAGTAAGATGAGTTGGATTGCAAAAAAAAAAAAAAGAAAGAAATAACAATAAAAAAACAAATGCAATTGCACCAATGGAGATGCTCTAAGACTGTCTCCAACCCAAGCATGCAAATTTGGAGAAAGGGAGGTTTTTGGCTTTTTTCATCTCCAACCCACCAATTATTTGGCTTGCAAATTTGGAGAAGTGGGCTTGGGGGTGGATAGATAGAAGCTGATATGGAAAAATGCAAGGAGAAGGTGGGGGACCAACCATGGAACCCAAGCCCACACGCTGGGGCCCTCCACTTTCCAACATCTTCTTTTTCTTTGTCTTTTTTTTTTTTACTTTCTTAATTTTTGATTGGTTGGTTATGAGTTGGGAAGGCAAATTTAGAAGATTTAGAGTTGGAGCAAAATAGTGTTTTTGGAAAGTAAAAATGCACATTTGAAAGCTTGAGAGGCTAAATATAACCTTTTGGGTTGGAGTTAGTCTAAGCTGCTTGACCTGTATAATTTGTTCTTTCTAATTGTTTAGAATGAAGTTGATATTATGAGTGGAGAGTGAAAAAAATTAGTTGACGAGGAAGAAACTTTCAATTAATCTTGTGGTTTATAGATGTTTATCTTTAATTTTGAACAATTTGTATTGATCATTTGCAGTTTGCTTGTATGCTCTAGATTAGTGTTTTTTGTATGAATAATTTGTATGAGAAAATTGATGTTAAACTTTTAATTTGAAAGAAACTTGTTATTGTAAATTTTTTACCACAAAAACCCATGGGTACCCTTAAACCCGCGGATACCCAGCGGGTTGGGTCGGGTTTGAGTTTTTCAAACCTAGCGGGTTTTACCCCGGATTTTTTTGGCAGATAAACCCACGGGTTTGGGTTTGACAAAACCCGCCCCAACCCGACCCATTGCCATCCCTAGGTAGGGGTGAACAAACACACCCGCAAACCGACCCACCCGTCCAACCCACCTGTATTTACCGCTAAAATGAAGGTTTTGGGTTGGGTGAGGGTTTTCTTTTGTACAACCCGCCTCTTTTGGGTTGGGTTTGGATTTTGGATTACACAACCGTAAAACCCGACCCAACCCATGTTCCAAATATTAGTATGAGTTCGAATCTAAAAAATATTTATGTAGTATGTAGTCATATACTTATGAGACAATTAAGATATTTCACCATGTTTTTTTCTCATGGTCTCCCTAATCTAATGCATTCTTTGACTTCAAGTTTAGACATAAATTGAATATAGTTATGATTCACGTAATCCTTTTTCTTGTGTACAATTTTAATAGAATAACATATGATGGATGCGTTTGTTTATAACATTTTTAGTCTATTTCAACAAATATCGTGAAAAAACAAGACATATGTTGAAGTAAATTACATTTTATTAAAATTTAAACAACATTTGTGAATTTTCATACCTTTCACCTTGGTTCATTCATTTGAAATTTTAATTAGTTATAAAATATTTTTATGATGTAGAATAATTATATATTTTATGCTGGGTTGAGTTTTTACTTAAAAATATCGCCAACCCGACCCAACCCAATTAGAAACAACCGTAGGGTTTAAATTGTTTTGGGTGGGTTTGGGTTTGATATTTCCCAAACCGTAGTGCATGGGTCGGGTGATTAAAATGATTAAACCCGAACCACCCAACCCATGTACACCCCTATCCCTAGACATGGGTACCTCTCATTGACCCGACCTGCCTTGATCCGCCCCATTCTCGACCCGTTCTTACCTAAATTACATGTAATATTAGTAAAAGTAATTAGAAATTTTCTCTTACTACATTATATTTTAGCTATAATAAAGTTGTAAATAAGTGAAAACATCAATTTCTTCAATAATTTCACTATATTTTATTATTTTATTTTTTATTTTTTGGTCTTTTAGTGAAAATAACGAATAGTTCTAATGTTTTTCGCATAAATTACATACCCATTGGGTCGACCTGCCCCGACCCGCCCCCATGATAAATTACCCGACCTGGACCCGACCTGCCATGGGACGGGTATAGGTATTGAGAAACCCGCCCCGGACCTGCCCCATTGCCATTCCTAGGAGACTAAAATAAATATTTTATCACAGACAATAACATTATTTTCGTAACATTCCTTGTACTTTTTGAATAGACAGAATTGGTACATAAACTATTCGATTCATGTCCAAAACTTTCGAGACTCGTATCTTCCTCGTCCGACGTTGAAATTCAATTCCGTCGAACCTGTAATGTTCCTAAGATCGTCTATTACGTGATGGTACCAAGGTTTTGAATCTTGGTTGAGATCGACTACGCCAGTGCCGTCGACGGAGCTACGATTAATACGTTCGTCGGGTTAATCGATCCCTAAAAACAGGCTTAGGGACCGACGAGACGTAGAACCTTACCCCTCAATGTCAAGAGAATACGATGTCGTCGAGGGTCTTTGTGCCGACCTGCTCTGCCTTCCCGCCGCCAGTGTTCCGCGAGGAAGAAGGTCGCGAAGCCGCCTGCTGCTCCCGCTGCGGTGGTTGGCTTTCGATGCAACTTAGGTAAATAATTTATACGGTTTGATTTGTTAAATAACAAGTGATATGATTTTTCATGAGGCATAGGTGAACATGGATCTCCGATGCCACAATAAAAGTGAATTGCTTTTTTCTGCTAAACTATTACTTCTAGCACAGTCGTGACTCGAGAGGTTAATCAAAAGGAAAGGTCGAAGAGTTTCTGCAATTGTGAAAAGGGAAGAACAACCATGCCAGGAATGGAAAGATGATGGAACTCGAATCTGTGTGGGATCTCCTGCTAAGGCTAACTGCAACGTGCAACTAAAAAGGGGGGGGGGGTTAAAGGGGCAAAATGACCTCTTAGCCCCCTCGAAAATAGAAACAGCTGCAAGGCGGGGGCTAAAAATTATGTTTTGTCTTTGATAATCCTAACTAAAGTATATTTAAAATTAGTTTTTAATTTTAAAAGTTACATATTTATTCATGATAATTCGATACGAATATTCTCATAATTTTTGAGCAATTTCCTAGATACTTTTTTATTGCTAACTAGAAATCCAAATACAAGTTAGAAATCCCAATACAAGCTATAAATTCAAATATAAATTATAAATTCAAATACAAATACAAACACAAACTAGAAATTCAAATACAAATTACAAATTTAAATAACGATAAGTATCATAATTGCTAGGGTAGTCCTCGTCACTACCACCACCATGGTAGGGGCACTTCCACCATCATTATGACAAGCATCCCTAGCATATATTTTATTCGGTTGACGCTTACAAATCTTCCTATTCCTAGGATTAAAACGTGCTTAGATTAATTTAAAAAATCTCCATATTCTTCACAAACAAAACTGCTTCTCGTTCCCTAATTCCGAACTCCTCTTTCCCTTCTTCTAGTGGGAAATTCCTCGTCCTCCATTTTCCACTTCCTCTATTCACGCGCCATCTTGTGACTTTCATATATAGTCCTACTCACATTCCTCTCCTCAAGAAGAGCTCCTCGAGCCAATAACGCATCTCGTCGTCGATCACGCTTCTTAGACGATTCTTCCTCGGATTTCCCTTTGCTGTGTGTCTTTTTCTTATCACGTTCTTCAGGTCTAGACAACCCTCCAGATGGAGTACCTTCAAATGTCGTAGTTGATTCATCAAAGTCAACGAATGAGCTCGACTCGCCAGCCATAGGGGGATAAGTGCAACATTGAGTGCATGATCAAGATGCCATTTTGGGCATCGTGACAAGATCCTCCAACGATGCTCATCCTTGAGAGCCGTATTTTACATTTCCAACTTATAAATGTCTTTCACCATGGCCATCTAGATATACTACAAAATATTATTTCATAATCAAGATTAAGAGAAAATAAAAATCATAACTTGAAAAAAAAAGGACTTACCACATCGTCTCAGTTTAGCCACTAGATCTTTGCTCATTATCTTTCCTCAATGCCCCTTCAATGCACTACACGTCTGGCCTATTACCTTGAATCGTGACACCATTGCAAGTTGGGAGCGATCAGAATGTGACTGGCCATTTCGAACGCCTTGTCGATCCATCCCCAATACCTTTTAAATTGTTGATCATTGCATTTTGTTCCGTAGAATGATACTTTGCACCAAACTTGACATAGGGCTATGTTTTCATCTTCAGACCAGTTGGCATCTCTTTTGCTCATGACGAAATAACAGAAGATGATAATTTTTTTTGAGGCTAGGTGTTTGGAGAAAGTGTAGAGAGTGAGATATGAGATGGTGTATGAAATGAGGAGTTGGATCAGAATTTTATATATTGTTTTTAGTCGTTCTATTACCTTTATTTCTATGCTCGTGCGTTATAGTGATTGGTATTTAATTTTAAAATTTTGTATGCATTTTTTTATGTCAAATGGAAATCGAACGGTCTCAATTTCCACCGAAAATGGGTTCAATTGCATAAAAAAACCACAAACAACTAAAAAAACAACAATCAACGGTCGGACCGATTGTTCCGCCGCGGTTGGCAATCGATCCGCCACTGCCTGCTTTGTTGCAAGCAAGGTTATCAATTATAGTGATTGGTATTTAATTTTAAAATTTTGTATGCATTTTTTTTTATGTCAAATGGAAATCGAATGGTCCAATTTCCACCGAAAATGGGTTCAATTGCATACAAAACCACAAACAACTAAAAAAACAACAATCAACGGTCGGATCGATTGTTCTGCCGCGGTTGGCAATCGATCCGCCACTGCCTGCTTTGTTGCAAGCAAGGTTGTCAATTCGCAGGCTGACCCGGATCTGGTTGAGTTAGTGGGTCAAGAGTTCATGAGTCACCCGTTTTAGCCCGGAAATATGGAAAGAGTCATTATATTGTACTTATCCTGATAAATTATATCAAATCTCATCTAAAATATGAGTTATAACATATAATATTACACCAGAATAACATGTCGTACTTAGATCCAACATATAATGAAAATTCACACACGCTTATATAACATCAATATTCAAATATTCAACTTAGGATTCCAAAGATTGAGTTCGACGAAAAGAATAATCGAAAATAGACGCATTTCACAAACCAAAGAAAAAAATGACACAATTTTACCTCCAACCCGGTATCTTATAGCGGTCAACCGGGCGGATGCATGCGGCCCGTTTTTCTCACCGGGCCAGAGTCAAAGTGGGTCGACCCACGGTTGACAACCTTAGTTGCAAGTGGTCCCCATTTTTGGCCTCTTCATTTTACACCTTTAAATTAAAGTTAGGGCGATAGTAAAACTAAGGCGAGGTCTACTATCGCTCAAAATGCACCTCCCTTAATCCTCACCCTAGTTTTAGCCCCTCCCCATTTCATACCCAAAATGCCCCTCATTTTTGCTTTTAGCCTTTTAGCCCTCTTTTTAGCTTGGGTTAAAGAACGTTTTTAATGGGTAAAAGGACATTAGCCAACGAGTTCAAGTTAGCCTAAGCTAGCAGCAAGAGGTTACACGAAATGGAAAAGATGGAAAACAACTACCGACTGCTCTATCCTGGATCCGCTGCTGCTCTGCATTCTTTTTTTCTCTGCTTGACTTGACAAAGTTATAAAACCTTTATAAGGTCTGCTGCTTTTGCTGAAGGCAGCCAAACCAGCTTCATCTAGTTGGTTCTGGTGAGCTGATTATGAACATATATCAAGTACGACTTATGGATTATGGGGAATCATATTAAATTCTTGTAATGCCTAATAGCAACATTCTGTTTGATATCTATCTATCTATCTATCATTCATCATAGATCATAATAAAGATCTCAACTTTGATACAAAATAAATGCTGCATCATTGCTTTCGTCTAGTTCATACATATTTCAATCTCTCTTGCTCCCGTTGCTCTGGTGCACTGCTTTAGTCGGCACACGAGTGTCAACCAGGAAAGACTTCATGTGTTTGTAGAGCTGTTTTGGTCGCTCTGCATTTAGGGCATGTCCTACATTCTTTATGATCACCAGTTCTGCATTATCCCCAATATGGCTGCAGTTTATGATGAAAAGGAAAGAAGACCTCATCAGTAATCAGTCAGACTCGATATAAATTCAACTGTTTGCATCATCAAACCTTTTTAATCTGTGTGCCAATGCAACTGGGAAAACCTGGTCATATTCTCCCCAAATTATAAGCGTAGGCTGCAGGAGGAGAAGTAGGACTCAGAGAACATTCTTCATGAGACTTGAAAGGGATGTCGACATTCGCAAAGGCAAGATTTTCGTATAGTACCTGGGTTATCCGGGGAAGAGTAGACAATTTCCTATCCTTATGCAATGTCTCTATCAATTCCTTCCTTTCTTGAAGGTACTCTGTACACATCACCTGCCATACAAGCAACAGATTCCCCCTGTCAACAAGGTTCTGCAACAATTGGCTTCTTCAGCACATTCGAATCAAGCATCACTACCTAAGAAAGCAAGTCACTTTTTTCTGGTTAACTGAAAACAAATCACTTTAGGTACCAGCAGAAACCCTTTTCCCCTGTGACTGCAGTTGTCAGCAGATACCCACATGGAAAAACAGTTCTTATGAAGCAACTTAGCAATGCTTTGATCTCAGGTAACAATGAATAAATGGATAGCAAATGTCGAAAAACAACCAATGAGCATGAAGTTTGTATGGACTCCCCACATGCTATGCTAAATCAACTATCATATTGAAATTCGTGAGAATTCAAACACGAAACCTCTAGTTTCCGGAGCTTAAATACAAGGTCGAGAACCAGCTCATACCTAATCTTAATACACTCACTGAATTACCAGTTTGTAGCTACAACTTGCTAGAAAGTTCACAGCTACGCAACCAACATCAGCAAATATGGACGGAAAAAATCTAATTCAGCCGAAGTCTCAAACTTCGAAAACTCTTGTAAACGGGGAAAGTACGGAAGCTGGATCAGAATTTGTTACCTACCTCAATAAAATCGGCGAGAAAACAAGAAGGCGTCACCGGCGGAGGCTTATAAAACGACAATCGGAGCAACTGCCGACATTTCTCCGGCGTTTGCGGCAACAGAATCTCAGCTGCCTCGTCCACGCTCTTCACCTGAAACATCCCATCCTCCATATCCTTCTCCTCCAAACAAACCCCGGCGCACCCTAGAACCACTCGCCCCACGCGCTCCGGGAACTGCGCGGCCATACTGTAGGCCACGAACCCGCCGTAGCTGAGGCCCATCACGTCCATGGTGCCGGACACGCGCTGCGCGTCCATGACAGCGGCGACGCATCGAGCCTGGAAGGACTCGGACCGCTCGGGTCGGGTGGTGTAGGAATCGCCGAAGAAGAGGAGGTCCGGGACGTAGAGATTGAACTTGGATTTGAGCGGCGCGATGAAGTCGTTGAACTGCCACATTGCGTTGGCGCCGAATCCGTGGATCAGGACGAGAGTGGGCTTGGATTGGTTGTGGGTTTTGGGGGCCCAGCAGTGCATGATTGTGCCGTCGCCGAGATCGGTGGTGGATGATTTCAAGCCGGCCCGGGAGAAGGAGTAGCGGTAGCACGAGTCCTGCGTCGCCGTGTAACTGAAGCACTTGGCCATTTCTTTGATTCTTTTCCCAGCCGATGAACGGAGGGGGAGCTGGTTCAGTTAAGTGGGGTGTTGTGGACTTGTGGCTGTGGCCGGAGTTCGATGTTTCGACCAGAGTGTTGTTGATCGTTGCAGAAAATGGAGAGTTGGGGTTGGAGGAAAGAATCTTTTGAATAAAATAAATGGATACAGTGAGAACAGAGAAGAAACCGAGATTGTACTTTACTTTGTAGGCATCTATCTGCCCGATTACCGGTCATCAAATGCCAATCAATCAATTACTTCCCTTAATCTATTATATATCCCATTTTTTTATTTATTTCCCATTTGTAAATATTAGGCCATCTACCACATGGGTAGTTGTGTACGTGTATTCGACGGTCTACCCAAAATATGTCTTGGGGCGTTGTTTTACGGATACAATTAAAGGTCGTTGAATTTGAAAAACAAAAGTTTTGATCATAATATTAATTTTGAAAAACCTGAGTTTTGTGATGGAATTAGTTCATTATGGATTTGAAAAAAGGTTATTTGCTTGTTGTTTGATGAAATTGATAATATATTTAATCGAATTAGATTGTGGGTAGATAACACATTTTACACTATTCGTGGATTTGGTTTAGATATTACCTATAAAAAAGGTTATCAAGCAAACATGAGTTTGTACCCAATCCATGATGATCATGGATTGAGACACTAATTCATACTTCAAATCCATGAAGCGAAACGACCCTCACATCTTTTAGACTACATGTGAGAACTATAGATAATTCACTAATCAATATGTGTTTCTCGGGGTTGTGTTTGCCCCTCTTTGCTTCAATCTTCTCTCTGTGTACCTATAGGTGGGATGAGTGAAATTCAGGGAATTACAACTACCTAACCTTTTCTGTCTGGTTAGCATCAACATTCAGCTACCAATAAGTGACCGCAACCAAATCTGTAACGGCGGAGTTATGTGTAGTTCAAGAAGAGATACGTTCCTTCAATTTTTTTTTATCTAAAGTTATAAAATGTATATTCATATAATCCTATCTTGAGAAACATATAAAGTGCTAGGATGGAGCTATTAGCCCCCTTCCTTCAAGAGTTAGGGTGTTTTTGCTTAATGGATTTGGTGATGGATTTGGATACATTATGGAATTTGTACAAATCAATGTTGTTAAAGCCGAGTCAAACCGGTAAAACCGGGACTCGATTATCAAACCAATTCGACTGAGTTACTTAGTCGTCAACTGAGAGCCGGGCGGCCGGATAACGATTCGAGCGGTTAACTGCTAGAACCAGACAACTGGCTCAAAGCACTCTAGCCGCATCAGATCTCTGCAACATATCCATTCAACAGAATCTATGCAACTAGATTCCTCGAAATGAAGGGAACAAAAGGGAAACTCTTGAGGATGCTCGAATCCATCAAACCAATAGTGTTCCCAAACAGCCTGAAAGCCTTCATCATTCGATTTGAGGTGACAAATTTGAATCAGTCTCAGCCCTCCGTTGTCAAAGATTGACATCATCTTGTCATCCGTTGGACTTTAATTGCAGCACCCTCTTCGACCCAAATCTACTAGCCGCGTTTGAGATATAATTGGAGGAGTTGATTATGCGAATTGATGAAGGAAGAATCACAAGTAGAGATGGGGGTGATGGAATGTCAACGTGAAAAATGTTTTAGAGGGACTGAGGTGCTTATCACGATATGCAGAACAGGAGATTGAAGGTTGAAGAAATCCAGCAGTGGTTGTTTTTGAACGAGCTCATGAATACATAGTCGTTTTCCTCATAAGCAATGGATGAGTTGAGCCAAGACGATGCCGTTACACTAAAGCAACTACCATTTTCCATTAATACTGTAGATAACCAACTGTCATTTGCTTATTGGTAGATAGTTTAATTTCTATTTTGTTACCGTTAAACAGTGATTAGAATTGTACAACTCTGCTCAGATTGAAGTATATATATATATATGGTGGCTACTTCGGTGCACTCACTTTTTTGGGTGCATTCAGTGCACCCACCTCTAAAAGTGATCATAATACATTAAATTTTGAAATTTAATGGGTTGTATTAGTCTAATATGATGATATAACATAGAATCCCAACTAATCAACCCAATACCCTAACCTATTAACCTTCAATTTTGAATCTCAACCCAAATCCCAAACTGTAAACCCTAACCCTAACCCTAAATTCCTAAACCCTGAATCATTCAAATTAAAGTGAATCTTGAATGATTTTTGTACAAATTCATGTGGTTCTTGTTCATCATACCACAAGTGATGATTGACATCGTTTTCACATGAATCGCCTGCTTAGAATGACGATTATGAAGCGGGTGCATTGAATGCACCCAAAAAAGTGAGTGCACCGAAGACATAACCATATATATATATATATATATATATATATATATATATATATATATATATATATAAGCCCTTTGAGGCACCCCTCGAGGGTTTTCATCCCAATGTCATCCTATACCAAGATTTCGTATTGTATCAAAGCATGGTTGGGCCATCTAGGGTTTCTACACCCAATCCATACCCGAATTCGTAATTTCAAGTAGCATTTGACAACAATGGCTATTCTTCTTCTTCTTCTTCTTCTTCTTCTTCTGCTGCTGCTGCTGCTGCTGTTGCTACTGGTGCTATTTCCAACTTGAGCACGGTCACAAATCCCTATTACATCAACCCAACGAGTCACTGTTCTTTCCAATCAAGCTTACAGGCACTGGAAATTTTCAATATGTGGAGCAGAATAGTGTGAGTTGCTCTCAAAAGCAAAAACAAACTTGGCTTTATCAATGGGTTGATTACAACTCTAGATCCATCTGCTGAGACCTATGCAGCCTGTGAACAAAGCAACACGACAGTCTAATTTATGATTCCAGGTTCCCTGGATCCTAGTTTGGTCGATAGTGTTTCTTCACAAGACAACGCAAGGCTTTTATGGGAAGATCTCAGGCAATATTTTGGGCAAGCAGACAACTTCAGAATCACCGATTTGCAGACTGCTCTCTATACTTTGAAGCAAGGTAATAGATCTGTTAACCAATTTTACTCCGAGCTGAAGGGATTTTTGGAAGAACTTGTTCAATTTCTTCCTATACCTAGTTGTGAATGTGGAGGTCAAGCAAGAAACCCAGTTGTTCCTTCTATTACTGAGACTATAGTGAAGAAGTATAGGAAGAATGAATTTGTTACTTGTTCTGTCACTAGTCTGAATGATGCTTATGGTGGTACAATTACAACCTGTTTTTGCTCAATGGATACAAAACACCCATGCTTTATCATTCCTCACCTTTCAATCGAGCAACTTCATTCCTCACTCAAATGGCACTAGAACGAAGGCTACTATATGAAATAGATTACTAAGTATTAGAACTATGATTGATATTTAATATTCAGATCGCGCGACAAAATAAAAAGTTGTAATAAAAAACTCGGAATTTAGGAAATTCCTATTTCTCCGCATATACAATTGCTCTTATGTGAGCCCGCTTAGCTCAAAGGTTAGAGCATCACCGAAGGCGTCCTTGGGGTGATCTCGTAGTTCATACGGGGTGGAGACGATACGCAAAGCAAAGAGAGGAAACGTGCTTTCTTACTTCGCTAAGCAGCCTTTTTCGAAATATTATAATATTATGTAAATGAATCCACTAATAAAAGAAAAATGAAAAAAAATATTATACTATTCGAACCAATTTGTTTATGATGCGACCACTTCCATCTATGGAAGTTACCTTCCATTATGCCATACAACATGAAAGTCAGATTGCTAAACCAAACCCTCAATCACAAGTGGATTCTGTTGCTCTACTTGCTGCAAATCAAAATAGGGGAAACCTGAAATGAGAATGTGAAGGGAGGATTGTTCTGTCGATATTGTAAAAAGGACAATCATGTGATTGGTGATTGCTATAGATTAAAAAGGAAGAACAAAAGTCAGGAGGAACTTCTGGGTTTGTTGGACAGATTCAAGGACTGGATTCTTCAGGAGCTGGTATTTTACTTAAGCCTGAAAAAAAGAGTGTGCCTAAAAGCAATGATGGGTATACAAATATCATACTCACCAATGATGATCTCAGTTGATTGTAGAAACTCCTTAACCAATACAGGCCACCAGCCTCACCAACCTCACGATTGCTCCTGGAGGGTCCACCCTGCCTTCTGTTAATCAACAACAATCTCCTATGGTCAACTCATTGAGTAGACATCTTTATGTAAATCCCAACTTTGCAGGTAAATTCACTTTGACTTCATACTTCCTTAAGCATCCAATAGAGTTTGTCAGTGTTTGGTTTCTTGACACGGTGCTACTGATCATGTCACCTGTTCCATCTCTAGTTCCCTAAGATATAAAAATGTTCAAGGCATCCTTTTAACCTTGCATGATTGTTCCATACACATTGTGTTAGTGTCAAACTCACTTCTGAATTAGTCATTCATGACGTTTTGTTGGTTCCAGCCTTTTCTTTCAATCTAGTCTCGGTTAGTAAACTCAGTAAGTCGATGTCAGTCTTTCTTACTTTTGAATCCAACATTTGTCACATTCATGACCTTCCAACCAAGAGGAGGACTGGTTTTTCCAAAGAGACTTGGTCATCGTTTCCTTTTTTGAGCCAAAGAGTTACAGAAGACCATTCCAAACATTTCTATAGAATCTTTTTCTCATTGTGATGTTTGTCACCTTTCAAAACAGAAACATTTACCATTTTCTTCAAGCCAATCTGTGGCAAAGAGAAATTTTTAGCTCATTCATTTTGACATTTGGGGTCCTTTGGCCACTGCTAATTACAATGGTTATCCGTATTTTCTTACTCTAGTTGATGATCGATCTAGATGTGTTTGGATTTATCTTATGAAGCATAAATGTGAGGCTAGACAGTTGTTACACGACTTCTGTGTTCTTGTTATTACCAAATACAACCAACACATCAAAACCATCAGATCATATCAGGGGGGATGAATTCCATATACCTTACTTCTACTCACAACATGGAATTATCCATCAAATGTCATGCGTTGAAACTCCTCAACAGAATTCTAGAGTAGAAAGAAGACACCAACATATCATGTTGCTAGAGCCTAAAATTTCAATCTGGCCTACCTTCAAAATTTTGGTCAGACTTTGTGCTTCATGCAATTTATCTTATTCACAGGCCAGACTTGTATGGTTCAACCCTTGATTCATCAAATTTAAAGGTATTTGGTTGCCTTTGCTATGAAAGCACACTTGAACACAA